GTATGTGTTGTTTGTGTGTGTGTGAGTGAGTGAGTGAGTGAGTGAGTGAGTGAGTGAGTGAGTGAGTGAGTGAGTGAGTGAGTGAGTCAGTGAGTCAGTGAGTGAGTTTGTGTGTGTGTGTGTCTGTGTCTGTGTGAGGGCGAACCCCCAAACCCGAACAGCGAAACCCCAAAACGCTGAACTGTAAAACCCTAAATGCAAAGCCCATGTAACCCCCTTCCAACCTTCCAACAAAAGACATAGTGTAGGGGCCTTAATGATTTGAATGGGGTTTTGGGACGTACGATACTATATCTACAATAAGGAACACACAAAATAGTATTGGACATGATTTAGGCACCCTACATTACAAACACAGGAGCTGGAACCCTTAAGCCCTAAATCCAAAGACGACTCCGTGGTGTCGGAACTCTGGAGCGCTCAAGAAGGGTTGCAAAGAGCATTCAAAGCTGCAGGGAACCCTGGAACTTAGAAGTCCAGCCTTTTCCTCTGGTTTAGGGTTCAGGGTTTAGGGTTTCGGACCGTTTAAGGTTTAGAGTTATGACTACATGTATGATTTTGAGTATATCTATATATGTGTTTATCGAACTACTTGTTAATTAATGTCCTTTAGTCCATTTAGTTATGCGAGAGTGAACAAACAAACAAGCCAACAAACAAACAAACAAATAAATTGATTCACGGAACTGATGAGGAAAGATTGTATAATACAAGTATATTATGTGTATATATATATACACAAATGCGAATACAAACATGTGTGTGCGTGCGCGTGTATGCAGGTAGATGTGTGTACAGATATAGCTATATATACACATGACTCTATATATATATATATACATACATAGACATACACACTCACACACATGTGTGTATATATATATATACACATCTATCTATCTGTCTGCCTGCCTGTCTGTCTGTCTGTCTGTCTGTCTGTCTGCTGTCTACCTATCTATCTGTCTATGTATCTATCTATCTATCTATCTATATATATATATATATGTGAGAGAGAGAGAGAGAGAGACACGTGTACCTGGATGTCTAGGGGTACTTCGGATGCGGGATTTAGTTTAGGCTTGTTGATTGCAGACTCCCGCGCTGTAGACTTTCGTGCATAGAGGGGCTTAGGTCCCCGAATAATGGCTTCTCAGATTTCATCTGGGATTGGAAGCCCTTCTGCAGACTGATGGGCCACAGAGGTTTTGGAGTTTTCCTGAAGCCTTCAAAGTACAGGTAAGCCTGAGCTAAAGAATTCCCTGCGCATCTTTGCATCACCCTAAGGCGGCATTGCATGCGTTGCATCGAGCCCGGAGTGCTATGCGAGCGAAGCACAGGGTTTCGGGGTTATAGGGTATCGGATTTATGGCTGATGGCTATATGAAAGGGGTGGGGTCGGAAGAATCTGGACCCCCCGGTGGATTTTCTCCACGGGTTCAGCTGAGACCCCTGGTTCATGTATCAAGAGTTTAGACAACACGTTTGAGAATAACTTCTCGGGGGAGCTGTCTAAAGAGCCTCGGGTGCGGCTTGATGATCTATAGTAATGATAGTATTAATAGTACTAATGGCAAAGATAGCAATAATAGCAACAATAGTATTCATAGAAATAATGGTAATAATAGATTCGGTATTTGTCACCTACAGGGCTCCCGTGCAAGACCGGAGACTCTGGAATCGGCGGACTCCCATGGGCTCGTTAAAAAAAGTCATCGACAAGCTCAACATCGATGTCCGTCTGTCCTTTTCAGCCTCAGAGTATGGTCTTTATCAAACTTTTATCAAAGTTGGCTCCAAGCTATCATCCGGCCGAAAAACGACCAGGATGCCTTTGATCACGAGAAACTCGAGCCCATGCTACTCTCCTATACTTGCCCAACCCCTGACAAAAACATCGCCTTACAAGCGGATGGCAGTGGCGAACCCTAGAGACGCAACCCTAAGCACCACACCCCAGGCTCCGAACGTTCAACACAAACCCCCAAGTCCTAAACGGTAGGCATGATAACTGATACCCCAGACCCCGACCCTCAAACCAAGGACTCATGAAGCTAAGCCCTGAACTCGTAGTCAGCCCTTAACAAAACAAAACCCCATGCTGCCGCTCTAAAATCCTTATGAGACCTTCAACCTACACAACATGTATGCAATCCAGGTGAGAAACTCACAACACCATCACGAAACCCTGGAATCCTAGAAAGCCTGCACCTCAACCGATCTTGGCTCTGAGTTGATTTCGTCTTCGGGGCCCGAAATCGAAGCCCAAGCTGGGCCGTGCTGGGGGAGTGTTCCCTCTGCCGCCCAACGAGTTTTCTCAGGGAATTTGTGCAAGTGCGAAAGGCCGGAGGTTGTGGGTTTAGGGTCTACCCATAGGCTCCTTAGTACTTCGTGTTTGTGGCTTATATTTAGGATCCTATAAGGTAATCCCCAAAAAAAACTATGCATCTAAACCGTTGCCGTACAGTATGATTAACACATGCTCCCAAACCCCATTCTCGTTGGTGTAACACTAAGAACAGCAAGTATGATGCTGGCCATCGCGACGATAATGCTATAGGTTATTATTCCTATATGCTGTTTTGTTATGTCATGCTTGTCAATGACCACTACTGCTGTTTACTCTAATGTTGTTACTACATGTTGATATTACTCATGTTCTTAATGTTCCAATGCTGTAGAATACTGATGGTAACGCCATTCAGACTGTCGTTATGCGTTTAATTATTCATGTTGCTAATAACTGTTCCTCTTATTGTTGTAACAACTTTGCTTGTGTTACATTTTGGAGCGCCTAAACTCTGGCACGAGACATCGACTTCGGCAAGGTCCAATGCAGCTGCAAACTGTCCCGAAGCGCAGGCTCAAGGGCACTAGGGTGAGGGCTGCCACTGGCAGCCGTACTCAAGTTCCTTTCGGAAATGACGGCTGTGGAGTGGTGGGAGTCGTCGTCGGCTCTCAATAGCTCTCCAAAGCAAGAGAGTGACCTACAACCCCGAAGACGCTAAGCCCGTTGAAAGCAAACAAAAAGAACCCTTGTGAACAAGACCCTTTAAAGGTATCCCCTTAAAGAAACCCGAGGGGTGCCCCCTAAGCCCTAATCCTACCGACATAGATAGCAATCAACATCATTGTTGCTTTGGTGAACTCTCTATGTAATTCTGCGCCATAGTTTGGGAGCCCACAAGAGAGCCCCTAATTATTTTGGACAACCACCTATATCGATGAGGTCCGAGCCTCTGAATCAGATTACGACCTGCGCTTCTTCTTCAGCCGCGGGACTATCCGCCACAGCTCAGCGTTCCCAGCGTTGCTGGAATCCTGGGTGCTTTGTCAGAGTTCAGCAGGGCTAACAACACAAAGCAATCATGATGACCAAGACAGTGTAGAAAAAGATAGCAATACAATGAGTTAAGCAAAAACATCGCCATGAGGATGCTGATGTTGGCTTTAGAGAAAATTGAACGGGCCTTATAAGGGTCAGCCATTGCCAAAGCTTGCGAGCTTCTCCGGCTCGGGAAGCTTCTGTATGGCTGTCGGCTCATGACCCATGGTCTCGTCACCACAAACCCTAAATCTCAATGCCCTACGCCAAATTCTCTGTGGCCAGTAACCCCAACATCTCTAAACTCTACACCTTTCGGGCTTCTGCTTCAGGATTGCGTGCGGACCTTCGGGGTTTTGGGTTGAGGTTTGGGGTTTTGCGGCGTAACCTTTCACCTAAACCCTGCAGGGGCTCAGGCTCACAGCATCTGCGACCAAGAAACTCAAGGAAGCAAAGGCACCATCGTATTTTCTTCGAGTCTTTAATGTAGGGGCCTTAATAATTAGCCTGTGAAGGGGGAAGCTCTGTTTTCTTGACTTGAAAAGCCTTCGGTATGCGAACATGTCGTACAGCGCACAGACTCCCCCTTTCAGCCTCCAGCTGAAATAAGAGAGCGCGCTCATTCCGAAACTGAGCAGAGATTAAGCGGTTCCACCGCTCACAGAGGCACTTACGGCTTCTGTTTCAAGACTCAAGGCTTTATGATCTTTCACGTCGCGCTGTTTCAGCGCATCTTACGATCCTTCGAGGGCTCCGTCCTCGAATCTGGATGGAGGCGAAGCTCCGTTCGCCCCTTCCATTCTCGATCGGCAAGAACCTGTGCAGGTTTGGTCTTCGTCAGAAAGTTATCCTCAATGACCCGCACATTTCCACTGGGGAACTTGGCATACGTTTGCCTTTCTCCGGTGAAGCGATCCATCGCTGGACCTCCAGCACAATGTCCAGGCACGAACAACTGCTGACGAGGTTTCGCGTGCCAGCGAATGGCCACACCGCGTCCGTAGTCGACCTCCCAACGGTCTCGATCACCAGAAGGAGTGATGAAACTGTAGGCCCCGGTCGTCATATCACCCGCGAGAGGTTCGGGAACTGGCGGCGTTGGAGGTCGGCGACGCCGCGAGGTGGTTGTCGACTCCGTCAGTCTCGGACCATCGGGTGAGCGTGACCTCGCTGGTTGCTCTGCCCTCCGATCCTCGACTCTAGATCGACAGCAACTTCGCAGCTGCCTCAAACACCACTTGAGGAACTCGTAAACCGCAAGGATGACCACCAAAAGGCCTGCCATCATGCTGTAGTAGACGTAGTCCCGTTCCTCCTCGGCCGCTTCAACCTGGTCCACGAGCACTGCCATGCACAACAACAACACCAGTCTCTTCGCCACCTGAGGCTGGGTACATGTAGTGGTCTCGGGTGACACCCGAGTTCTCGCCATTTGCATCCTGTCGACAAGCAGCCGGAATCTGTCTGCTGCCAAGGCCTTGGTCCCGACATCGGCAGTCATCACCCTTCCTTCGATGTGGTAGGATGCCCAATCTTCTTGGTCGAGCAATTCGCGGACCATGTTTCCGCGAATCCTCAAATGCCGCGTCCTCCAGCTGCCGGCTGCACAACGGCAGACCGAAAGGGCGGCCTGAGAGTCGCTGTAGATGATCTTCCGCACCTTGGTAGAGTCACTCATCACGCCCAGCATCACTTCAGCCGCGAGTTGCTCTACCGACTTCATGCAGGTAACCAGCTCACAAATCGCCACCAGCTCGCTCTCGGCGGTCGACATAGTGACAAACGGCTGCCTGGAGCTCGTCCAGGCAATGAGGCCGCCCGCTGCAAAGATCAGCACGCACTGCTGGCTGCGTTCGGAGTCGGGAGCAAACGAGGCGTCACTGTAGCCCTCCAGAAAGGGCCCTTCCCCAGACGTCCGAGCCTCCTTGTCCACCACCGGACACGTAGTGTACTTCAAACCGCCAGCAGGGTACCGCTTCAAATATCGCAAAAGGTGCCCTCCACGATAAACCGCCTCCTTGGGGCACCTCGAGATAGCCTGGGAGAGGAGGTTGGTGGCATAGATGAGCTCGGGGCGGCATCGTCCTGCCAACCACTGAATCTCGCCAGCCATCACCTGAGCCGCTCGGACATACTCTGAGGCCTGCTCGCCGTCCTTCAATGCAAACTCCTCAGGTTTCAACTGAATCGGCGCGGAGACCTCCTCGTAACCCTCCAGGCTGGCATAACGCTCCAAGAGGTCCTTGGTGTAGCTGTCCTGGGTAAGGATCAGGCCCTCCTCAGTCTTTTTCACCTCGAAACCGTCGAAGGAAATATCATCCCACTGAGGCTCGGTGCACTTCCATGTTCGCCGGAACATACTTGCCACTTCCGCTGCAGCCTTGTCTTCTCCGGCGATGAGGAGGTCGTCGACGTAGCAGATCACAGCACCCGCACGACGGGCCCCTACCATAATATACCACAGACTCCCATCCACCTCCGAAGGCCGCAGGGTGATCTCGCCCTCCGGGATGCTTCCCTTCATCTTCTTCATGGTTTGGTTACGGTAGACCTCCCAGCTCCGAGGCGAGGTGACCATTCCGTACAAAGCCCTCTTCACCTTCCAAACCGTTTCTTTGCAAACACCACCAAGCAAGAACATCTTTGGCACCATCACCAAGGTAGGTCTAGCCTCTTGAAAGAGCAGCGGGGCCAGCAGGAAGGCCGTTCGAACGTCCAAAACACAAAGACGCCATCGGCGAAGTGCTGCTTCACGTAGAAGAAGTCGAATCAGCACTCCATCTGCTCCCGCCGCGTACTTCTGGGCCTTGGTAAAACACTGACCCAAAAAGTTGCCGCAGATGACCGCCCTTGTTTTCAACCGCCCGGTGAAGGCCTTGATGGTGTGGACGGTTTTTCCAGGCACCAGGTCAAACTCCTTGCCCTCCTTCCTCCACTGCTCGAGGATCTCCTCCGGGAACGGTTCAACAGCATCATTCTCCCGAACCAGCGCCTCGTACTCAGCGACCATGCTGGGAACCCAGCACTGAAGCTCCTTCCTCACGACCTCGTTGGGGATCGTCTTCGTGTGAAGCGGGGCCTCAGCCTCGCCCGTCTCCCCATCGATCTTCCGGAGGATCTCTTCGTTCGCCTCATCCTCCTCTGTCTGGTACTTGTAGAGGACCTCCTCCAACTCCTGTCGGCTGGCAGTCCACTGAGACAGTGAACTCGAGGCATCACCGCCTTCCTCACTTCGTCGTAGAAGATGATCTCGCTCTTCATACTCTTCATGCACCAAAGCTAGACGAAGTCCATCAAGGTAGCCGCCAAACAGATCCCAACCCACTTCCAAAGGAACCTCGGCTCCAACGAGCTGGTAGTAGGTCTCGTCTTCCGAAGCCACGGCCTTGAGTTGGGCTACTTCAGGCGGCCCATAAGCCCCCCAAACCTCATGGAACCAAGCATCCTCACCGTCCGACTCGACCGACTCGAAAGGTTCCTGCTGATAATCGCCGATGAAGAACTCCTGGGGCCCACCACCAGCCGAATCGAAGGTCACCCCGCAGACACACAACGACGGATCTACCTCATAGCCTTTGCACACACACTGAAAGACCCCCTGACTTCCACCGCCAGCAACTTGAGGAGATTCCAACGTCTGCTGCTCCCCCAGAACTAAGCCACCATTGACGTACACAGAGTCCTGACTTCCACCGCCAGCAACTTGAGGAGATTCCAAGGTCTGCTGCTCCCCCGGAACTAAGCC